TTATCCAAATTTTGTTCTATCAATGATGACAGAATTCAGTGTCTAGTTGCATAATTTATACGTTTTTCCAATTTAGAATTGTGAAAAAATTGGACTTGAGAGAACTTTCCAGTTGCCTTTTTCGCCTGCTTGTTGACATTTGTACTTGTTTCCAAGTCCCGGAAATTCGGCTTCTGCTTTGAACTGATTTACAAAGGTGGAAAAATGTTTTCGCTATGTTCTTGTGTCAATTTAATAATATTTTTAGTTCTCTCCGCGCCAATTTGTGCAACAACAACAACGAAAAACTCGAAATTGAGGCCACTCATTCTATTCCGTAATCAATTCGGAAGAAACAGGTCTATACAGCGTTGATCACGAAAATGTGATTCTACTTACAAGATTTTTCAATTTAACCATGACCATAATGAGTTTTGATGATGATTGAACGTAGGAAAATGATTATTTTTAAATCTTTTCCCATTTTTCGTCTCTCAGCAATTGTTTTTCTTTTAATTGAAAGTAGGGCGTGGATTTTTTTAGAGAATGAATTTGCTTTCACTGAAAATACAGTGCGTAATTTTTTCGTTCAAGGTGGGTTTAATTTTCCACTTTATTCCCGCGTTAATTTGCGCAGGATTTTAGGTAATGAAGATGACGTTTAGAAATTTGAAAATCTCGTTCAGGTTGAGAAAACAACTCAATTTCTTGCATCTCATGGCTCTTTATTTGTGTTGATGAGTTTTCTCTAGCACAGTATTTGGAAAACAAGGCGTAATAGAACTCAAATACCAATTAAAAACTAAAAATAGTTTTTTTTCAGTCTGGAGCGATTTAACGCTTGACTCGTTGGTTGTTTTCCAAGTAACTTCTAATTGGCGTACGATTTCGTTGTTAACCTTCCAGTGTTGAGATTCTTCTCGTGATTCGGTTTTCTTTCGTTAACATTTCTCAAGTGGAAGGAAAATAATCAAGTTTTTTTTTTAGGTTGAAGAATTCCTGACAATTTATGCGTAAACGTTTAAAATTGCAATTCGGAAATGTCCTTGTTTGAATATTTATTTATATAATCGTTCGTGCAAAAAATTTTATAATATTTTTGCGAGGACATTTTTGACGGAAAACTTGACTGTGAAAGAAAATTTTGTTGAATGTTCATCTGAGGACATTGTCCTTTTCAATCCGGTCTTTTTTTTTCGATGTGTGACGTCGTTTTATTTTTGATCAGTCTACATTTAATTCAAGAGCTGAAGTAGCACTTTTCTGAAGGAAAAAATCTTGAAAATATTTTTTTGCCAATGTTTTCTTCCCAGTTCTTTCACAGTATTTATGCCAAGTTCAGAAACCATGAATTGTCAAACATTTTCTTTAAATACCTTCGAATCAGTGCCAATTATTGAAAAAATTGGAATCGCGGCATTTAAAATAAAAAAGTATATTTTAATGTTCAATATCAAGTCCACTGTCATTTCAAAGGGTACATTGAAATTTCAATCAAGCCCACCGGAGAAAATAGAAAAAGGCCAGGAAAAATAAATAGTTCATGCATAAATAGTTCATTCCGTGATGAATGAATTTGTTCATAAATTTTTTATTCGTGAAGTAATTAAGATTGATGTGATTTTTTTACTAATTTCTAGAAGCTCATTTCCGGGCAGAAGTTCTAATTTTCGGTCACCCGAGATGAAAATTGAGCTAAGACCTGGGTTTGAAATAGCCTACGAACATTATCAAGAATTTTCATTGATTCATGAATGTCTCAAATCAGACGACCATTATTGAATGTGAAAAAGATATGTTTATAAAAATTAAAAATGTCTTGTGAAATCGAAGGTGATCTAAAAACGTCAATTGCTGATCGACAAAGCGTTCAAGTGATGGCTGTTCAGTAATTAAATAAATATATTTCTCAGCAAAAAACATATTCCTTTCTGATTTTCAAAAATGTTTGGTGCCACTCGTGACGCATGAATTCAGGTACCCACAAGTTCTTAATTGCGTCATGCATAAATATTTGGAAAAATATTTCTGAAACATGCATCGTAAATTTGTCGACGAAACAAATTCAGGCTGTGCAAATCGGTTTCTTTATTCCCATGCGTGATGAAGTACCCAGAAAAAAAATGAAAAATAAAATAACCTGTGGGCGGTTGTGGCATGGACTTCGACTTGCGTCACAGGCCCATATTTCTTGCATGTCGACACATTGACCGAAAATGTTTATTTTCCTACTTGCCCTTATATTTGCAGTGTTTATCGACAGTAAAATAAGTCTCATTCTTCGCCCCGACTGAAGGGAAACGACCTTGGCAGAGCTATTCGGAATTTTTGTTGTTGCACGAATGGGGTGCATAAATGTGCAATTCCGGTTCTCGAGTGATTGGTTAGAAAATTTAGAGACGACCAATTGTAGGAACAAGTATTACGACTCTGTTTTTCTTTGATCACAGCTACTCTATTTAAACCGTCGAATATTTTTAAAATTTGTGCCGATTTCTAACTGTTGTGTTCGCCAAAAAAATAAGACTCTGGTTTTTTTTCAAATTTTCTTGTCAGAAAATTCGCCAGAGCAGAGGTTATAATTATGTAATCCTTTCAGGCTGCGAAGGAAAACCAGAAATTGAAAAAAAAAACCGTGGGTACGGAATACTTGGTTTGAAATACGAATAAATTGTCGCTTCGAGGTTTTTTATAGTTGTACGGTAGCTCGCGTTTTACAAGAATTTTGATGCATGAATAAATGAGTTAGCGTTTCGTTTTGTTGAATGGTTTTTTTATTTTTTTATTTTGCACTCTTGATATTTTGGCGCTGTTTCGGATTGTAATTGATGGGACTTTGGCGCAGTTTGATGTTGTAAGGGTCGTTGCTGGATTCCTGTATACGTCTGTACAACTTTTTTTAGTGTGATTCATGAAAACTCGTAAATTTCTAAAAGGTTATTTGTGGAATAAATGCATTTTTTTTCCTCGTGAAAGCTGTGACGGACGTTTCTGCATTTTTCGTCGTCATTATCGAATGAACCTGGAAGAATTTCGGTTCTTGTTCCGTGGACGTTATACATTTTTTTTTCATAATATAATCCGCTTTGTGTAAAAATTTTACAAAAGAAAATTGCGCTGAAGAGAAGCTGAAGCAGTTCGGGGTTGAGAAAAGCAATTAAGGCTTTATTGTTAAGTAATTCAGTTCGTGGAATTTCGGGTCGATATTGGACGAATTTTTAATTGCTTCGTTTCGCCTCGCCTCGAAAGTGGTTGAGGCCGACATTAATTTCCTGTGTTTAATTTCCGCGATCGAAATGAAGTTCCGTTGGTCGATTCGGTTCGGTTCATTAAAAAATGTCTTTAATCGTTCATTACTTTCTTTGAAAAGTTGAGAGAAAAAAACGGAAAATGTTGATTATTTTTCTTTCCCGCTGAAAAATACTGCTGATTAGAAGATTTTTTTTTTTGGATTTAAAAAATTCTACTTTCCTCCGCGAAACTGGAAACTGAATTAATTTGACGTTACCTAAACATACTTTGCAAAAACGAACTCCCGTCTGGTACTGTTTTAAAATTAGAACCGGTTTCTTTTGGCTGTCATAAACAGGGTTCATTTCATCAAACGACGTCGTTTTTAGCACAGTGTGAAATTAGAAACATATCTTGTTTCTTTGAGTGTCAAAAGCGGATTTTCTTTTCAGAAGGAATAACTTTTATAGCTTTGTAAAAAAAAACGAGGATGTGAAGCCAGTCTTTATTTTCTGTAGACTTTTCATATTGCTGAACAGTCGTTGATTTACCACTTTCATCAGTTGCGATATTCTTTGGCAAAAGCAGGGATTTTTCTCGCCGAAAATGTGCGCAGTTTTGATGATGTTTTGGATTTGTTAAGATTTTCATGATTTCCGACAAAATTAATCACCCTTGTCAAGAAAATATAGTCCTATTGGAGTTATTGAATTCCGCATAAATATTATATTTCAACCACATGAATATAATGACAAAAACATTTATGGAAATTTGAATATGAAACGTTGAAGTGAAATATCTCGTTCTGTTAATTGTTCAAGGTTTTATCTTAAATATCTTGAATCCTGACAACTACCCTCAAATTGCTCTAAAAAAGGATCGAAAACGGCATCAACGAAATTATAGCAACTTGATAACTTTTTTTATTTTATACGAAACGTTTAACCGTTTATGTCGATGCCTTCAACATTATAGAAACGTTGAATTGAAATATGGCGTTCTTCTGAGTCGTGACGGTTTTTATCTTCCATTTCTTGAATCCTCTGTTGATACGATGTTAGATTTTTTCAGGGCTTTGATGTACAGTAGAAATATCATTAGAACGAATCTCGTTATAATCGCGTAAAATGTCAGATTCTGTCAAATCACATCCAATTCCTTTGTTTTTCTTTCCTTTTCCAATAAAATAATATCCCAGAGGCCTCAAAAATTCGACTAACGGAGGCTTTAGAACAAAAGCCTTCGAGTTAGGGAGGTTTTTAATGCATTATTTCTAAGAGGAATTCAGACTCAAACAAAAAAAAATTGACTTAGGATGGTTCGACTTCGCGAGGTTCAGCTTTTTATTCAATTCAAGAGTATGAAACTTTAACGTGAAATATCGCGTTCTCTTGATTAGAACCGATTTTATCTTTCATATTCTTGAATCCTCTGTTGATGAAATGTTCGGACGAATTTTTCCGGGGTTTTGATCCTTTCGTTGTGCAGTAGAATCTCTTTAAAACGATTTTTTTTTTGTGGCGAAAATTCCTCTGCAGTTGCTTTAATGACGTTAAAAAATCTTGAAATTTCGAAGGGGGAAACTTAACATATTGCTTTGCTTTTTTTCTGTTCTCTCCAGATGGAAGTGAGAATGCGTGGTCGGAGTTGAAAGTGAGCGCGAGTCCTTCTCCCCCATTCATTGGAGGAGAAAAAATACACACTGCCAACACGCAGGCAGCTGGTTGTTGTTGTTGTTGTTTTAGTTGTTGTGGTGGTGGTGGTGGTGGTGGTACGACGTGGGCGGCACCATGTGGACGCAGGATCCGCCCAAGAAAAAGCACAAAACCCGGCCCATAACCCAGCACGATTTGCTGGCCCTGGGCTACGCGCGGTGGCGGCTCCACGGGGCTCCCCGCGGCGCCCGTCGCAGTCCCGAAGACCCCTGGCCCGGGGTATCGATACTGAAGCCTCTGGTTGGGGTGGACTGCAACCTCGTGTCCAACCTGGAAACGTTTTTCACCATGAACTATCCCGCGTACGAGCTTTTGTTTTGCGTGGCCGAGGAAACGGACCCGGCATTGGTCGTGTGTCGGGCCCTGTTGGACAAGTACCCCAAGGTCGACGCCAGGATCTTTGTGGGTGGCGAGAAGGTCGGAGCCAACCCGAAAATCAATAACATGGAGCCTGGGTGAGTCATGTGTTGCCAAGTACCACCTTTTTTTTTTTTTTGGAAAATTTTTTAGTGAGGTACCTCATTTTTTTTATCCTCCGAAAGTAACAAACACAAGTCACATATTTAGCTATATTTCTTCTTCTTTTCTGGCCTTGAAGTTAACGAACTTCTCTTTCTCTCTCTGAAAACTCTGGAGAGTGGGCCAGGAAATTAAGTAATTTCCGATGCATTGCGATGAAATTTATAGAAGGAAAAGCATTTTTAAGGGTCAATTTTTTTTTTTAAATCAGGGGGTTTCACATCTCGAATCAAGATATTGTTGAGAAATCGAGTCATTTACTGAAATTTCCTTTTTTTTCGAATAATGTATGTTGCAATCACATTGCTGATGATATTATTTCCCAGTTTTAGTTCCATCCATGCAATGTTTTGATTAAATTATGAACCTCTTGTTTCTGTGAAGTTGTTGAAGAATAATTATTTCCGATGACGTTATTTCCTCAAAAGTCGGTAAATTGCTGTAAAATTATAAAGCATATAAATGCATGTACTGTACATGAGTCTTATTTATATCTAACGAACGTTTGATTTAATCCGTTAATGCCTCGAAACTGTTCTGTTAAAAACTTGGACGTCACGAGTCAGGCTAGGAAACGGAAAAATGCCTGATTCATTCGATGGATTATAAATTTGGTCATTGAAATCGATTGAACATTCACTAATTTCTGTGAAACATCACGAAATTTAGGATCCCTTTTCGTCTTATCGCGTGTTTTAGAATTTTTTTTTCTGTGCCTCGGATTGGAATTATTTTTGAAACTTCGTTATGCTTTACTAAATAGCAAGGAAGTGAGAGAATATACGATGACATTTTTGACGCATTCCGAAACAAATTTTAAAGAAGAATAATTTTTATTAATCAAGGGGTTTTTTTTCTTAAATGAAAAATTATTTTTCTCACATCCAACTGAATTTAATAGCTTGCTGGTGAATCTAAGCACTTTTTACTGGAACCTCCTTATTCTATGAGGTTCTTGAAAACACATTTCTGATGAAAATATAGTATTGAATGATTTTCGATTGACCTGTAATTTTACCTGACCAAAATGTAAGGCATAATGCTGAGAGGCGTATTTCTTCCTTCTTGGTTTCGCCAAATAAAAATTTCATGATTTTATAAATTCCAAGGACATTTTTTGCGGGTTTTGGACTAGATTGAGAAATTTCATCGTCTGCCTCAATTCTAGTTTTTGGCTCAAAATTATTCACCCCATTTCCTTCTTGGTTCCACGACATGAATTTATTTATTATTTTTCAAAAAGCTTTCAATGCCCAAAAAAATAAGGAAAAGTCGAGTTATGATGGAAGAATCCCAACCATGCAACTGTTGCCGAAAAAAAACTTGTTCCCCCTTACTTTTTGACATAATATTTGAGATTTGCTTCTTGATGTCTTAAGCTGAAAAGTGTGGTGCTGAATATTGAAGAGAACGTGTTGTGCCAAACGCATGAATAAAAGATACTTTCCGAACCAGTACTTTATGTTATCAATGTTTTACGCGTTGGTGCGCCAAACTTTCACATCACATCTCCTGGTTTAACGTTCATAAAATAGAAAATGTGCCGATTGCAAAATAAAAAACTCGGAACTCACCGTGAATGTTAATGATGAGAGTGAATTGAAAATTCGATGATGAACTTATCATTGTTTGTCACAATACCCTTGATGAACATTTTTGTGCGTTCTGTGTTTTAAAATTCAAGTTCTTTGCAAATTTTCATGTGAAAGAAGTTCTAATTTAGTTTTTCCCCCAAATTTGAAATGTTTTTATGCATTGAAATCACGTTGATTTCCCTATTTTGAAAAGAGAATGAATTCTAAACTATTGAAATGCACTCCAGTAAAACTGCAACTGATGAAAATTCGTTTTAACCTAAATTCGGTCAATTTTTTTTTTTTGCAAAGTTAATTTCCGTTTTGATGAAAGTATTTCCAGGTCGGAGAAAGTAAACGTGTTCTAAAACTTATTGACCGATTTACCGAATGAGAAGAACATTGGCGAGATTATTTTCCTTCTTGTTTTGTTTTCCTTTTGTCTGAATTGCATAATTATCAACAGAGTTTAAGTGCACTCATTTTTCTATACTTCTTTGTTCTCGAAAGTTTAAAGGTCATTAATTATATTAGGCAAAATAATATTAAAACTTGTCATTGGGTCAAAATCCCTTTTTCAAATCATCATCTACAGAAGTTTTTTAATGTTGTTCGAAGTTCACGAATTTTTCAACTCATCGCATGTGTGTCCTTCTGAATAATTTCTGCAATAAATACCATATCCTTCTGAAAGCTCAGTTCGTTGAAAATATTTGGTGATGACGAGTTTGCGAGAAAATGTGTTGAAAAATTATTTTCTTCTATTAAAAAAAAAAAAGCTCGGAAAGTCCGGAAGCTGTGCAGAAACAAGGCGTGTTTTTCTCATGAGAGTTTCTGAATTGGTCTACAATTGATGAAATAGTTGCCCTACTGAGAATTTCCAACAGATTTTTTTCTCTGAAAAATAAACTTACTGTACAATAATTGAAAGGGGGTTTGTTGTGATTTTTGCAAGCTTTATATATTTTTTTATTTATTTCTCGTGGACTTTAGCGAGGCAGCCAAGTATGATTTCGTGATGACCAGCGATTCAGGGCTGCAGTGAAATTATTTGAAATCAGCATCCTCAATTTTAAAAGATAAGCTCGGAATTCCGGTAGCTGAGAAAGAAACTGGATGAGTTTATCTTTTGAAAATTCCTGAGCTGGTCGACCATTGATGAAATAATTGTGTTTGTGCGAATTTCAACACCTTCTCTGACAAAGACACATACTCGAAAAGGGGGTTTGTTGTGATTTCGTAATCTTCATTCCAATTTTTTGCCCACAGTTACGAGGCAGCCAAGTATGATTTGGTGATGATGAGGGATTCAGGGTTGCGAGAAAAATATCTGAAATCAGTGTCCTCAATTCTAAAATAAATTGAGCTCGAAAGTCCGAAATGGAATAGAAACTATTGGGTCGACCATCGATGGAATACTTTTAGTTGTGCGAATTTCAACGCCTTTAACCAAGAAATGTAAAGTACTGTACTTAAAATGAGGTTTTGTTGTGATTTTGTAATTTTTATTTTTGTACTCATTTCATTTATTGTGCACAGATACAAGGCAGCCAAGTGTGGTTTGGTGATGGATCAGTGATTCATGGCTACGAGAAAATCATTAAAAATCACGAAAAAAAATAAGCTCGTACTGTAATTCCGGAAACTGAATGAAAAAGAACATGTGTTTTCCCCCTTCCGATTTTCTGATCTGGTCGACCATTGACGAAATAGTTATCCTAGTGCGAATTTTAACGCTTTTTTTTCTGACAAAAGAAAATTATTTGGAATGGGGTTCGTTGGAATTTCGTAATCTTGAATACCCATGTATTCAATTTTGCCAACAGATACAAGGCAGTCAAGTATGATTTGGCGATGATCAGTGATTCACGGCTGCGAGAAAATGATTCGGAATGAATACGTTCTTAATTTTGAAAAATGAGCTCAAATTCCGGAAGCTGAAGAAAAACTAAATTTTTTTCTTCGAGAGTTTCTTATCTGGTCAATTTTTGAAATAGTTGTACTAGGGCGAATTTTAACGCCTTTTATTTCTATTCTTTTTACAGAGAACCTTACTGTATTTGAAATTGGTTTTGTTGTGATTTTGTAATCTTCGTAGTGATTAATTTTTTGCCAACAGATACAATACAAGGCAAGCCAGTAACATTTAGTGATGATCAGTAATGCTAGCAGGGCTGCGAGGAAATGATTAAAAATCAATATCCTCAGTTTCGAAAAAAATAAGCTCGGAATTCCGGAAACTGAATGAAAACGAAATTTGTTTTCCCCCTTGAGAGTTTCTGATCTGGTCGACCATTGATGAAATATTTATCCTAGTGCGAACTTTAAAGCTTTGTTTTCTGACAAAAGAAACATTTAATATGGGGTTCGTTGTGATTTTTTAATCATTATTTTTATTTTTTGCCAACAGATACAAGACAGCCAAGTATGATTTGGTGATGATCAGCGATTCAGGGCTGCGAATGCGCGAGGACACCCTAACAGACATGGTGTCACACATGGGTGAGAAGGTCGGGCTTGTGCATCAAATGCCCTTCGTTTGCGACAGGGACGGATTTCCTAGTGTTCTTGAAAAGGTGTGTTCCTTTTATTTTAATCATCATTGAATATATTTTTTAATAAATGGAAATGCAGAATTATATGATGTGATTTGATAAATTATTCCCGAGAGGGTTGCGTAAGCAGCTTATAATTCCAAATCATGACCCGCAGCTGAATAAATATAGAACCCCTCGTGTTCCGGTCACAATTGATTTTTTTTTTTAATTTGTCCGGAAATCGGGGAAACATTTTCTGAGTAGATTTTAATGCGGAGAAATTCTGTACACATTGTATCAGTTGTTTCCGGAATTTTTTTTTCTTCAAAAAGTGTCTGGATCCTGCTACCCCAATTATTATTTTTTTAATTTCCAGAATTTGAATTTTCCGAATTTATGGGTCTCATTTTGTTTTTGTTTCATGTCTCTAACCTGAAAGGAATTTCTGTGGGGTTTGAGATGTGGATAAACCATTTTCACAGCTTGTTTTTTGTTCATTTACTCGTTAAATTAAATGGAATTAACGTCGATTGTCCATGAATAATTTGGATTTTAGTTTATTCACGACCGGTAAGCGGGGATTTCCGGTGCATTTGAACAAAAACGATTGAAGATTTCTAGAGCAATTGAAATGTTTGCAAGACAATTTTATTGCAAATTTTTCGACTCTTTTTGTGAAATCAAAATCGACTGTTCTGACGTTGTTTGTCGGTGAAATTTTTGGAATTTTGCTGGACGTGAGTTTACAACGTTTTCCTCCTGAATAACACGGTACAAGAAAGCATTGTTCGCCGTGTCTGAGACAATAAGCGTACTTTTTTGTTGATTCTTTTTACAAGTTTTCGCACTTTGCTTGCTAAAGTTAAATTTTTAGTGTGACATTAATTCTTAATTTTCATGAATTCCTTTCAAACTGCGTCGCCGGACCTTCTGAACTTGCGAGTGACTAATGGAAGATCATTTTAATCAATGCTCGTTGAATTTCCGATGACCTGGGAATTTGCTCCAATTTACCTGCATTGTTTTCCTGTAAGCAGTAAAAAAAATAGAAAATAAGAAAGTTTCTTGTCAGAATTCCGCAGTAAAGCCGCAGTCGATTACATGTAAGATCCCTCGTGTAATTTTCTCGTGAGAAGTAAAGGAAAAAATAAATGAGTCGATTCATTCGGAGGAATGTGGAAAGAAAGGGCACTGTACTGTACTTGTACTGTGGTGGATTCGGAAGTTAATTTGGAATTCCTGTCGGGAACCAGGTTTACTTCGGGACGTGCGTGGCGCGGATTTATTTGGCGGCGGATTTGCTGGGCATCAACTCCGTGACGGGCATGTCGTGCATTTTCCGCAAGTCAATCGTGGACGAACTCGGGGGATTGAAGGCGTTCGGCTGTTACCTGGCCGAGGACTATTTCCTGGGACTAGGCATTCAGAAGAAGGGGTTCAAGCTTCGGGTCACGTCGCAACCCGCGTGGCAGAACCCCGGGCCGAGTGATATTCCGTCGTTCCAGGCCCGGATACGAAGGCATGTGGTTTTTTTTTTTTCTCGCTTCATTCCTAATTAATTTTTTTAAAAGAACACATGTTACAAAACAAACCCGGTAACACGCCCAAAAAAACAATAAGAAAACCAGAGGAGAAAAAAAAAGAACTGAAAAAACAACAAACAAACAAACAAGCACGTTTTAGAACTTTTTTTATTTCAGAATGCAGTTGAACCTCTTTGAGTCGAATTTTCAAGGGTCCAGCAAAAAAAAAATCGAGTTAGGGAAACAAGCATTTCTTGTTGTTGGAAAAAAATAGAAGAATTGCACAAAGTTGTAAATGGTGATTTTTTAGCATTAAATTGTTTCTTGGATGAGTTGATGGGATGCTGAAGTTCGCGGCAAGGGTTCATTTGCCACATAAGTCCTTCACTTTTTTTTTTTTTGAAAACGCTTCAAATTTCTTTTTTATAGATCTTATCTTTTCTTTGTCAAGAGTTTGATAGCCAAAGGCATCAGGTGATTCGATTTATGGAGGTTTGAGAGGAAAAGCCGTTTGAGTTAGAGAGGTTTTTAGTGCATTGTTTCTAAGGGAATTCAGACCGGGACTCGAAAAAAAATCATCTTGGGAAGGTTCGAGTTATGTAGGTTCAACTGTATATTGAAAATATTGATAATAGGCTTCATTCATATACTGTGTATATATTTTTGTGTGGTTTTTTCTTATTTTGATCTCTTTTTTTCCGAGCTTTGCTTCTTTTGTGCAGAATCTTTTAAATTTTGTAAAAAAAAAAATATTGCGCCGTCTTTCACTCAAATATTTTTTATTCGTAAAATAAACTGTAGCAGAATGTTTAGACCCACTTGTAGTGTTTTCCAGGATGATTCACGTGGTACTGGAAACCTAAGAACCGTGAAAACAGTACTTGAGGATATTGTACTACCTCAGTTAATGGACTGATTCGTTCCGGTGGGCAGTCTACTAACCGAGTAATATAAAGTTCGATAAAACTATACTTACTGTAGTTTTTTGTGTTTAAAACTCGTTGATACGTTCACGTTTTTGTGTGCGTGTACTGTCAATTATTTTAATGCGTGAATCACTCTGAATGAGTCCTCCAGCATGAAAGGCTTTATATTCGATCATTTGCAATTTAGATTAAAATTTGGAACATCGTGAGAGATTTGATTGAATATTTCTCGCATTAATTACGAGTTAAAGTCGGTGTAGAAGTTCAGATTCTGTTCTTATTGAATCCTTCATTCTTCAGACGGATTTTTTTTTTCGAAGCGCTAAACGGATTGAATCTCACACTTAATAGATTAAACGTTTGCTGAAAATAAGTGCAGTTTTAAAAAGAAAGTTGACTGTTTTTTTTTTATGGGAATGCGGAGCTGTAACATGCCTTCGTTGTTTATGAAGGAGTTTATTTCTTGCTTAAATTTTGTATTTTTGACAGTATGTTGCGTTAAGGTATAACCTGTTTTTTTATGTGCCTCTGGTTTAATTTTTTTTTTTTCGTTGGAAGCTAAGACCGTGTAAAACGTGCACAGATAAAAAAAAAGAAAACCTAACGCGTAGCGTGGCTTAGATAAAAATCGCAACTTCACAAATTAGAATAGTCAACTCTCGCATAAAGACAATTTGGAACAGACGAGGTTTATCTCTCGGATTTCCGTACGGATTCACGGCATCATTTACGTCCTTCAATGATGAAAATTTGGAACAAAATCGGCGAGAGCATATACAGTACCATACCGATATTTATTGAGGGTTTTTGTCTGTCGTTGTTTAATGCTGTACAGATATTATTCGTATGATACTTGAAAAATGTAGCTTGTAATTTTCATCGCCTCTATGTCTGCTTGAGAAAAAAAATGATGCAAGCTAATCATGCCGAAGAAATTCATGAAATTTTAATCATTTTTAAATTTGAAATTAGTTTTTGTTTCCTTTTGCTGATCCCTTGAATTTTGACTTTATTTTTAATTTTTAGATACTGGTCTCCATCTTGTCATTTTTGTAAAAGTTGTACATTTCGCGGAATGATGGATTCTTTTCTCACGATAATAACACTTTTACTTATTGCAGGTGGACCCAGCTTAGGATAGCCATGGTGCCCACGACGATATTGCTGGAGCCCCTGCAAGAATGTGTGGTGCTGGGGTTGTGCACGGCCTGGGCCGGGCACGCCCTGTTCCACTGGGACCCGCTCGTGTTCTTCCTGGTCCACTCCTTGTCCACCAAGGACGAGCTGATGACGGAGGAGTGCAGGCAGTTGCCTCTGACCGAGTGGAAAAGGTTCAGGCTCAAGGACGAACGGACCGACAAAGCGCTTAAGCTGCGCAAGGCGGTTAAGGAAGTCCGGATCGTGGATCCCGTGATCCGGTGGCGGTCCGGCGCCTATCGGCTCAACTGGGGCGGCGTTATTCGGGAGACGCCGGTGGCCGTGGCTCAGTTATCGTCGCCGGCGCCGCTTGGGACCAAGGTCGCCTTGGCCGTGCCGAAAAAGCGGCGTCCGCCTTCGTCCGCGTGTGCCTCGTATCCGACGTCGTCGTATGGGCGGCCGCCGTTGCAACCCCTTGACCACGGGGCGCCGTGGTGAAACAACGGTGGGGAGGGGGGGGGGGGAAGAAAAAAAAAACACGTATTCAGATTCACCTCGTCACGTTGATCGGAATTTTTAGTACAGTACAGTACATTTCAGTACTCGATCAAGAGCCCCTATGTAGGATTTTTTTTCAATTTTTAGGTTTGAATTTAGGTCTCGGTTTTTTTTTTGGAAAAAATAGGCTGCTATTCCATTTGTGACTTTGTAACCTTTTCACTCTCTCTCTCTCTCTCTCTCTCTCTCTCTCTCTCTTACGAAGAAGGATTCCGGGTTTCCCTAAAAAAAATTAATGCTCATATTCAGCTGTACCTATTTATTTAAAAATAATAAGGATGGGGCATATATGAGTTTTATAAACGTCAACTTGGAGGAGTTCAGCTTAAAACTAATCTTAATAAAAACAAAAGTTCAGGGGCAGACTTAAAGGAACCTTTCAATGCATTAAAAACCTCTCTAACCTAAAGGCATTTCCTCCCAAACTGCCATGAATCGAATTTTCAGCTGCCCTTCGGCTATTATTCTCTAGACGCAGGAGGAAAGCAACTTGATGGGTTTTAAAAGGAAATTAATTGGGCAATTGAACCCTTGCATTCAAGTTTGGCATCCATTCAAGTCACATGCGAAGTAATTCAAGGCCCAGAATATCACCGTTTACAATTTCATGAAATTCTTCTATCTTCCCCACAACAAAAAATGCTTGTCCCCTGACTTTTTTTTTTTTTTTTGCTAGTCCTTTGAAATTTGACCGAGGTTTGACTGTAAATGGTCTTCAGTTAGAATTAGAGAAAAATAAGCAACCCCAGAAACAACTTCGTTTTCAAATCTGTTAACAGTGAATGTAAAAATTAGAGAAAATCTACCGTCCTGTAAATTTAATTGCGAAAATATATTGTGTAACTCAATATTTTCAAATGCAGTAAAAGCTTCGAAATTTGAACTTTGAAGCTTGGAAGGTTAACGCTTTTTAGGAACCCAATTAAATATACCCTTGGCAAGATCAGTGAATTTGAGATGATAATTATTTGAAATTATTATTTCAAAGACAGAGGAATTGATGACATATCTTTGATTGGGAATTTTATGAAATGAGTGGGAAGAGCTGAAAATGTTGTTAAAAAAAGACGAAATGCTCCAAAGTTTGTTCTCAAATAGGGAATTATTCATTGTCTTGAAAAATTAGGTGTGGACTTTGAATCGAGGATAGGAAATCATTCATGAAACTTTTGAGGTTCAATAAGAATTGAAGTAGAAACTACCCCGGATAAAAGTTGTGAAGCAAGTTCTGCAGTTAGAATCAACACGAGACCCAGTCTTATTTTCATTCAAATTGTCTTGAAACACGGTTTTAGTTAACAGTATAAAAGTATACGTGTGAATACGATTTTCTTAAACTATTCATTTCCGCTTTTTGTTGTTGTTGTTGCATCAATGAAGAACTTGATCAAGCTTTCATCGGATTGAGAGAAAAAAATCACTGGAAAGGTTACATTGTGATGCTGTTGATAGAAAAAGGCGGCTCAAAAAGAAAGGGGGAGGAAATGGAGACATCATTATGGACAAAAGTGTAAGCCTATGACTTAGTGAGGAATATTATTCTGAGTCCTGTGTCAAAGGTTTTTTTTTTCTGGTCCCTATCCCCCTCAGAAAACCACAGCGTTTTGCCAACATGAATCGCTCAAAGTGTGAATGGGTTTTTTCCCCAATTTCGTTTTTTTTTTTGGAGTTGATGGTAGTATTATCAACTGGTGTTGCTGCCGCTCTGATAAAGGGGAAAAATTGAAATGAGCAGGAGGGTTTTTGTGCCTTTTGTTTGCTGCTAAATGCTGCTGGCAAACTTGAGTGGTGGAAACTGTGGGCATTTCTTTTTTTTTTTTTGTCTATCTGTCTCTTTCTCTCTTATTGAGAGATGGAAAGGATCAATACCTAGGGTGGCATATAGGAATAAAATTTGTTTAGTTCTTTGGTTTAGGGAACAGTGGAATTGATGATGCGGAAATTTTGGTCGCGTTTCCCACAATGGCATCGCGTCATTTGTGAGCTTGTCTTTTCTATCGGGGGGGTTTTCTTTCCATCTTTTTTATTAGTCAAAGGATCGCCATGTTTTATTTTATTTTCTATGAATTTTGAAAGCCGTCTTCATTCTAGTCATCTTCGTACACTTTTTTTTTTTGCTTTTGATGCTCGTAGGAAGAGCGGAGAAATTTATGCACTTTTTTGGAACGTTTATGCGCAGGAACTTCGTATGGCATCTTTTGTGATTTTCCATTAGTGTTTTACGTTTTGTGGCTAAAAGGAACGTGATTTTTTTGTTTTTATTTGGACGTCCGATATCTCCAACTTGATGATTAATTTTATAGTGTAGACGTATCCTGTAATTAGCTTTTTTTTCTGTGTTCTTGGTTTTGTATTTTTTTTGGGTTCAGTTATGTTAAGCTTGATTCAGTTCATTGAAGAATTTGGCTTCTTGAACCACCATCTAAAATGCCGTGAGACAGTGTTCCCCTACCTATTTGGGCCTACAGACAAGGAAATTTACTTTACATCTTTTGTGGACCAGCAAATTAAAAAAAAGTCTGAGGACTGGTAAAGTTTCATCATGTTTTGCAGGATCAACAAATTTTTGTTTGAAAGACTCATGGCAGGTGTTTGAAGAATGTCTGCTTTTTTTTTTCTACAAAAATTAAGTTAAAACTCAATGACGCAGTTCTAGTGGAATGTCTTCAAAAATTAGAAAGGCAGGCTTGAAGAAAGGTTCCTCAGAATGAAAAACATAATTTTTAATTTTTTTCAGCTGGTAAAAATTTGTCAGAAGCATTATTAGGAGAAAAGCCAACTTATATTTGTCATCAGATAATTTCAAGTGCCTTTGTTCTTCCAAAATTTCAGATAAGGATAAAAGACTGCATTACTGCTTTTGATAATTTCATTATGCCAAAGAAAATTTTCTTTGGACTGGCAGAAAAAAATCCAGACCTGTGCCAGTCCATAGACCATAGGTTGTGGAACACTCCTGTTGAAGATGTGGTGAAATCTGTGAGCACTTCTTCAAGTCCCTCATGAAACCAATCATTGCTTTTTCAAGAACGGAATCAATTGTGTTGTGTTGATGAGCAAACCTTTAATGTGAAAGATGGCAGTTTGTTCTTGGTACGGGCGACACCTGCCTAAAATCTCGGAAAACAAGGCTGGGAGTTGAAGTTATGAGAACCGGAGTGCAGTTAATGAGGGGGGGGATCTCATGGGTGTCAATTTCGTAGACTCATTAGTAGGTGTCGCTGCCTTCACTATTTCATTAGAAGCAATCCAAGCATCTATTTCTGTGGACACATTTTTTTTTTTTGCGCATTCAATGTCTCTTCTAAAACAAGTTCACTCACATTCACTGCTGAAATTCGCTCCCGTGAAATACTCCTGGTTCGAACAACAAGAAAAATTGCTTTTGATTCATGCCTTGGCATTGTGGAAAATTTGCGCGAAGGGAAGCAAAACATGCGGAAAGAGAAGATAGGGAAAATCTGCGTTAATTTTATACCGTTTTATGTCGTCTCGTGAGCTTGATAATAAAAAAACGGAATACAGGATGAGGGAAAAACCGCGAGAGCAGCCCAAGATCTCTGTGTGAATGATGTAAGTGAACTCTTGCCCCCTCCGTATTTTGCCGCGAAAAAAGAAAAACGCACCAAGAAGAACGAAGAAAAAGGAGAGAAGTGATTCATACGGAATTGGTTTTTTTTTGTGCGTGTGTTTGTTTGTGGATTTTAAATGTGCGTTTGTGTGTGTGTGTTTGGGTGAAGAAAAGGAAGTTTTTTGTTCCATTCGGATTGTTTTGTTGATTCAAGTCATGTGTATTTCCTTTTGTGCTCTGCGCTGGATTACCTTTTTTTTTGTTTGGAAGAGTTTTTTCGCATCTTTTTTTTTTTTTATCAAGCGCCTTCTTGCCAATTTCTGCGAAACATTTATGTTCTGTTTTATTTTACTTTTTGGTTGTCTTTTCTTTTCGATTTTTTTTGTGAGATGTGTATGTTTTGTTCCCTTGAAAGCTGCGTAAGTTTGTCGATCTCGGAGTTCGATAATTTTTTTGTCAACACTTTTTGTTTGGCACTTGATGTCAAAAAAAAATTGTCGAAGAAGCTTTGAATTTTTTTTCAGTTGAGCGCTAAGAAATTTTTTTTAATTGAGGTATTAGCTGTAAAAACACAGAAATTTTGACACAGGGTTTTACAATCATATTTCGCGAGATGAACGGCAATCTTTTAACAAGCTGATGATTTTTTCCAGTTGCAAAAATTCAATTGTTCTTCTCGGATTCTTTTCTCAATTATTTCGCGTAATCGTTGATGTGTTACAGCGGTTATGGTGCCTATTTTGAATGGAATTGTTTCATTTTGTTCAAATGATCAGTTTTTCATAAAAGTAGCGACTTGGAATTTCAAAATCATATACTGCGTTATTTTTTTTTTTTGTGAACTGCTGGTATTTCTTCTGTTGAAAAAAAAGTTATAATTTTTAAAAGTAAGCTGGTCAGGATGTTGATATCTTTCGTAAATGGAAAAAAATGCATCTCACTTTTTGGAACATATTCAATTTTAATACGCATTTTTTTCTGTCGTTTTGAGTTCGGCTTCTTGTCTATTTTCGAAAATATTTTGGTGGTTTATCTTTGAAAAATAATGATAATTTTGCATGATCATCTGTATTTTAATTCATGATAAATATTAAGAAGACAATTTTGACATCGAGTGCCTGACGGAAAAGTGTTCGCATTTGCAATTTTTTTTTAATGGGAGATTTTTTTTTTGCGGAGATGCAAGCATTCCAAGGAGATGTTCTCAATTTGCAAGCCTGAGTTTTTGTTTTGCTGCTTGTGCGCCGCCGTGTCGGATTTTTCTCAAAAACACTGCTACATTCCGAAAATGAAAGAAAAGTTTTCTTTACAAATCTTTAAGTTCATATTATGTGGGAGAAGAAGAGGAACGCCAGTGAAAACCGTCCCTTTGGGCATGTTTAGGACCTTTTTTTTGCGTTTTTGTTGTATTATGAGCAGTTGTTCTCCTGTGATACAAAAAAATGTTTTCTTTTTTTTGTCCCGGGGCATGAAATAGGATTTTTTGGTTTTTTCTTCCCCGGAGAAGGAAACGACTGCCATTTTTTTTACGTCAACTTGGAAAAGAAATCCTGGAATATTTCTTAGATTCATATCATACATCTTCAAATTTTTTTTAGTCGAACGCGTCTTTTTCACCTTTCCCTCGATTTTATTTCTGTGGCTCATTTTTCTTTTCCTTGGAAGAGAAGTTTTTGACAAGCGCTTTTATTATTTGTGGTCAAGTGGCAACTCTTGTGGAATTGAAGAAATGCGCCGAACTTGTTGCTGAAACTCCTTTCGCAGTTTTTATTCACCATCCAATCAAAATGTTTTTTTTTCCTCCTGATTCTGTAAAACTGAGCTTTTCATCAAACTGGCTCAAAATATATTTTCCAAACGCCGTTTCATCAAATGTAATCGAGAACACGTGTCCCACTGAGGTTTTTCATATAATTTCGATTCATGTTTATATTTTTAGCGCCTCAGGTGACCCATTTTTGTGCAAAAAAAAGAAGAAATCAGCAAAGCTCTTAGTCCTCGTCTTCATCCTCGTCCTTGATTATTCCCAGGCTTTTGGCAACAGATTTGACAGAGTTGATGACTTCTTCTTGGACCAAATTGAAGCTCATGGCCAAGAGGGCGATCCCGAAAAGTAAGTAAAGTGAACACAAAGTGATACTGACTTCCCCGTTGACTTTAACGTTTTGCGCAGGAACGAAGTCTCCGAATCCGATTGTGGTCAGGGTGATGAAGCAGAAGTAGGCAGAGTCCAGAAAGTTCCACTTTTCCCAACCAGAGAACAAGAAGGCGCCTCCAAAAATGTAGCCCACTACCAAGAAGACACAGAGCCAGATGGGCACAGAGCGCTGTGATGGGTCTGGCTCTTGGTCATCATAGTAGTAGTCATCCTGTGGACAATAATTAAATATATAATCATGTTAGAAAACACTGTACCAGTTACAGGTGACTTGTTCTTGAAACCAACTTCTGGGGATCCAAAAATATCTGCTCAAGTCATTAAAAAAAAGTGTGATTAATACTGTATTCAAAAAGGAATATGTTCTCATAGTGGAGATCTTATTATGAACACTTTCTTTTTTTTTTCAAAGGTACTGTATAAGATCTTAAATCAGAGATCATAATTTCTTCAAACTGGTGGACTACAACAAACTTCCAAAAAATGAAAATGAAGGACTCAAATGTGCCCAAATATGTTTCAAATGTCAAATTTATGCGGGACTCAAAAAATAGCTGTTAAAGTCATAAACATGGTTTAAACACTTTTTTTTCAGAAAAAGCATCACTAAATACAGTATCTTTAAAGTGTCATTCTTATTTGGGATTCAAAAATATCTGATTTAGTCATTGCTTTCAACACTTCATTTAAAAAAAAAGCTACTTGAATCAAAGATCATACAATATTTTCTTCAAACTGTTGAAAGAAACGTGTTACAACAAACTTCCAAGGACTCAAAAGTATCTAAAATACCTTTCAGATGTCAAATTTATTTGGGGCTCAAAAATATATGTTGCAGTCATACAAATTGCTTCAAAAACACTTTATTTAGAGAAAGGCACATGTTAAAATGGTGACCATGATAAATGAAGACATTGAATGAGTTATGAAGACAATTGATTTATTAGAATAAGTAATTGCTTGCTTACCCCATCATCATAGTAGTAATAGTCCTCAGGGTACACTTGTTCATCAGCATACTCCTCCATGTCATGTTGACTTCTTTGTGGCTGGCCTCTTAGGTTTGCTGGATTCAGAGGTTGTTCTCTTATTACATGCTGAGAGAGGTGTTTAGTCCTGCTTTTATGTCTTCCAGATTTGGGGGATGGTCTCTCCTCAGTGTCCACAGCATATCTGAAAATAATAGTGAAAGGTACTATTGAAAATCTCTGTTCTGCAAAAACAAACCAGTGAAAACCACATTTGTTGTTCTGTCATTTAAACTGTAAATTAGGCTGAGGATTTCCTAAAAACACTGTGAACTTATTTTTGCTCTAGTTATATTCAGATTCCAGTGATACCTATTTTTTGACAATTAATTTTTGAAAATGCTGTGAAAGTCCACTGTGAAGCTGATCATGAACCAATCAAAAGCCCTACTTGTTTGAGTAAACAGCTTCATCATTTCTATTCAAGTGTCCTCCATGTTGGTCAGCGCTGGTGGTTGGATCAGAGTGGGTGGACCTTTTGGACTCCCTCTTGACTCCAAACTGGTCAGATTGTGGCCTGTTTCTGTTTATGCCATGTCTTGGATGGTCTGGATCATCTGGATAGTAACTGCTGGAATATATAATTGGAATTCACATCCAAGCTTTATATGAGTTTGCTCAAAATGAATTAATTACTTGAACTCTGGGTCAGATGCAGCATAAGACATGGATGTTGGTACACCTGAATCTGACAATATGGAATCTGCTGAGCGCTGAGATTGTCTGATGCCTCTTCTGAAAGATCCTCTCCCACTTCCCCTCATTGACCTGCCAAAATCATATGCAAAGATTTTTTTGTAACAATTTTGGTCTTCAAACTGATTCTTTCTGGAGATGCAATTTATTTAGCAAGATATGACCAGAATTTTATGTTCCCTGGCCAAACCAACACACAGTCACATTTATATGGCTGATTTCTTCAAACTGAAAATGACTTCTGCTGGTGAGGTCAAATTGAATTTTGTATGGATGGCCATATTTTTATATACAGTACACTACTTATTTTGAAATTGATTTGTGAAATGTACTGTACATGCTTTTTGGCATCCCATATATTAGTTAATCTAGGAATCTATTTTTTTGAATTTCAGGAAGTTGAGAATGTAACATGCCAGTATTGCATACATTTTAAAACAAATCACTCAAGATATTAGGGTACTTCAATAGTAACAAAGAATGTAATGAGCAGGTTTTTTCCCCATTTATGGTTTATGAAAGTATTGTTTGTTGGTGTCTGGCATGGATTCATTTATAACACAAGGCAAGTTTTACCTTGCATGATGGAATTCTTTCAAAACAAAATAAATCTTGGAATCAATTTATAATGTCATGTGAAGATCCTTTTCAAAAAATATATTTCAACAGAAACTGCATGTATAACTTGAAAAATACTTACCAGTGAATTTATCTTTTAAGTTTAGAATTCAAGTCTCTCAGATATACCTTTCTGAAAATTGTATGTTTTTATTGAAAATTTGCCTCCTGGAGCACATCATGCTTCTTTTTAACCTTTTTTTTTTACACAGTGCTGAGACTTAATAAGTGGAGATTATTGAGTGCAGTATAACTCACCTGTCCCTGCCCCTGAAGCTTTTGCCCCTTGCCCTAGCCCTGGCTTTCTTTGGTTTCTTCTCACACATGTAACAGCAGACTTTCCAGTAGAGGAACTTGAAGGATTGTGCCATAGCATCACCAATGTTGGACAAGCACAGAAGCATCAGAGGAATGCCCACAATGGCATAAAATATAGTCACCACTTTCCCCCAAGCTGTTTTAGGAGCAATGTGACCATAACCTGAAAACAAATGTTTTGCATAAGATCATAAAAATAATGTGCGGGTAAATATTGATCCAGACACTTGAGTAATAAACACCAGCCAGTATCTTCTTGTCCAGAGGAAATAGAAAGCAAAGCTGTGTATACATGGGGGTTATTTGGAACTTTCCCTGTTTTGCTTGTGAAAACCATTCTGAATAGTTCCTGTGCTGAGTGCATACTATAGGATTGTGAAGTGATTCTCAGACAACTAAAATGAAAAGTTTGGCATTCATGGTGTTTTTGAATGCCTGTGGTGCATTTTCTGAAGAAATTGCTACCCCTTGGGTTTGGGGCTCCACAAAAGAGTCCCTGGCTGAACCACTCAGGGTTCTCAAAGCTTCTAAAACTGCCAGCCCAGCACCCCCAGCAGTGGCCTCTGCAAGGTTTCTGAACTATGAAAACAGAGAACATGAAATGAAAGACTTCCATTATGGACCTCAAAAGGCTGCAGACTTAGCTGTTGCTTTTCATAAAATCTTCCAAATACTTTGATGCAAATATATAGTCCATTTGGTGGGGAAATTTACAAAAGAAAGGTATGGTCTCAGAATGAGCAAATAATTTTTTATCATTGCAAAATGACATAGAAAAAACAGTTTCATGATAATCTCAAGTTATAGTTTAAATTAATAATTAATGTTCTATGAAAGACCTAAAAATCAATAAATAAAATAAAAGACTATTTAAATCCAATAGGCTGATACAGTGCCAGTGTTACCTGTACATATGATAGTATGATTTAATGCTTATGCAGCTGTCTGGAGAAGTTTGAGGGCCATTGAGGAGTGTGTAGCATTTCCTAAATTATATACCTTATATATACAAAATAATTTTATTTTCTATACAGGTCAGATTACTCATATGGTTTCATCAATTCTGCTGGCCCAGCAACCAGGGATCTTCCTCAGAGCTACTCAGACCATGCTCCTACCAATACTTATCATCATCAGCACTCACATCAGTTCTCAAATTCATATTTCCCTCCACCATCCTATCCTCCATATGATGATAACAACTGCATTTGCCTTGCACTAGCTTCTGCAGCTGAGAAACATTGTGCAGTTACACTTTCTTCCCAGGTAAGTCAAGTTCAATATACAGATAATTCTCATTTAATCCATTGTATACAATGACTTTTTTGTTCAAAATCTGATTTTTCTTGAATTTTTTTTATGGATTCCACACACTTCCAGACACACTAGAGCATTTTTGGCAGAACTTGAAAACCTCTGTGCAGTACTGTACTATATTTCATCAGGTTTTTTTGTATGAAATTTAAAATGTAAAATTGCATTGCTAAAAATTTTAGGTTTTCAGTTTGAAGCTTTCAGCATCCAAAAAATCATAACCTTATCAGGAGTTAGAACAGGAAATACATTGTGTCTTTTTTGTTTACAATTTTTTCTTTGATTGGAAAAATTCTAGGTAGTTTGAAATACTGTATAAACTTCCTGAAATCCATGTATATACTGCACATGTTTGTACCGAAATATAGTGTTATGTAAAATTTTCATTTTAGCAGTCATTCTTTCCTTCAAATAAATAATTAAGCAAGCACAGGTACTGTACTTTTTTATTGGAACCCACTGTTTGATAATGTGAAGGACTTGCTCATTACATAAACTGTACAGCACTGTATTTTATAATGCACAGGCAGAATGTGGGAGCCATGAAGTTATGTGCTGTAATAAGGCACCCAGCAGGGATGGCCTTGATGAAGGGCCACAATTTTACCCCAGCAGCTACAGTCCAACCACAACAAATTATGGCCCTGCATCATCACTGGTGAGGATAACTGAAAAGCAAGTACAGCCTGCCTTGCCCTCAGGGATCCAGCTGCAAGAAGCTCTCCAAGGCTCTCAGGCCTATGGCCAGAATTACAATCAGTACCTGAACCCAAATGGACCCATCTCTTTACCACAAGTGTATCCACCATCAGAAGAGGGTTATCCTGCACCAGCTGTTAATCCAGGAATTTATCCTGGTCCAGGTTATTATCCTCCAGGGCCTCAATTTTACCCTCAGCTCCCTGGGGGTCTGCCTGTAACCCATGTACCCCATGAGTCAGAGTATGCCAAGTGGTTTGCCAGTTTTGTGACTGGACTTTTTCTGGGAACTCATGGAACAAACTTGGTCAATTTGCTGATGAATAAGAAGCAAGCTGCTGAAGCAGGTTATCTGAATCCTTTGGTACCCATGATACTGGTTCTTCCTCGTCCTCCACCAAAGGACTTCGACGGTAAAAACCCTAGTTGAAAGACCTTTAACACCCCCCAGTTATTTTTATTTCCGGACCCCTCGTTTTGAAAGGCTCATTCTCATTACAAGCGGATTGGATCAGCAGTGGATGACTCCAAAAGTTCTGTGCATTCCAGAGAAAATACCATGTCAGAGACTCCAGTGGAGGCGAAATTTCCTGATGACATTTCATCTAATGAAAAAGTGGATTTCCAATCATCTATTGGGGAAAAAAGTCCAGTTCTCAAGAAAAGGAAACACTTTTAATAAGTGGGCACACAAAACATGCATGAGTAAAACTCAAAAATGTGTCATGCTTATAAAAGGAATTGTTGACTTTTATTTTCAGAATGAATTGTTCTTGCGATTTTGTTTGAAATGTTTGTTGAGGTGATTTGTATTTGATAGTTTCCAAAAGTTATAAAAACATTTATTTGAAATGCCTGGAAGTTTATTTGTCTTTTTTTTCAACAAAACCTAGAATATTTGCAGTGTTGGAAATTCCGTGGAATCAGGTACTGTAATTCAAAAATTCAAAATTGTTTTCATGATTCAAATGATCTTCTTTTGTCAAACCTACTGATGAGTCAGAATCTTTCAAACCCTTTTAGGGTTTGATCAATTACTGTATTTTAACCATAGTATATATTTATAATGCTCAGTTGCTGATAATTTTTGAATATCATTCTGCAAATAAATTGGGCATTTTGAAATGCGTTTTAAATGCATTTCTAGCCCAAAATGCTATGCATTTCAAGCTCCTCTATGTTACGCCTACTCAGGATTTTGAATAATGCATAACAGATAGGTGTTTTGAAATGCCCGCTAGTTACAGCTAGGTTTTTATCCAGGCATAACTCAAGTTATGCCTGGATAATTTAGTTTTGTAACTACAGAATGCATTAAAAATGCATTTTTTAATGCATTTTTATTAATTTTTTAATAATAATTTATTTTTAATGCATTAAAAATGCATTACAAATGCATTCTGAATGCATTTCAGAAAAAATTTTCTGTACAGCATCACATAAAAAAAAGAAAAAAGAAAGGCGGCTGGGTGTAACAGTTATGCATAACAAATGCGTTTTGAATGCGTAACTGTTACGCGCAGCAATACCCGTAACAAATCATTTGCTGGGAAAGGCAACCTGCACATTCAGTATCACATATAACATGAAATTACCACTTGACTCCTTTTCTCTTTGAAACATAGATAACTTTGGGAAGTTGTGCATCTAATAAAGTTTTCAAGTTCATTTGATGATACACTGTCAGCAAATTCAGAAAAGAGGCACTTGTAGAATTTGAACCTTTTCTCCTCATCAGCACAAGTTTAGATAATTTTATTTTTGTTTGGTTGCTAAATATACCTAGATTGGGATCAGCTTAAATTTGAATACTGTATAGTCAAAGAAAATGACATCATGTACAGTACTGTAAAACAAAATTCTTCAACTCTGCTGAGAATCTAAAAAAATTTTGCAGCCCAAGGATGGAATATTCGAAAACTAAACCTTTATACTTTTATTGCTTGTGTATATATAATGGACAACATATTTGGAATGATTTACCCTTTTTTTGGTAGTGGGATGCAATACATTTTTGCTTTCTTATGCAGAATTTAATTCCATACACTCACCAATGGTTGTGATCAAAATGATGGAGTAGAATAAAGCACCAGCAAAAGACCACTGGACTTCATTTGGGTCTTCATTCCCATCCCAACCATCTTTCCTCATGGCATTGACCAGGTCT